TGTTCCACCTTCCTCATTTACTCCCAGATCCCAGCAGGAGAAAGCCTGTCGCTGCGGCAACGCATTCGCACAGGACACCATTATAGACACGGCGGCATTATAGGCTACTTTTGTCTCTTTCCTTATCAAGGGGTGGCAAAACACTTCATTGTCTGCAAACGCTGCAAAAGGTTAGAGCTTGGGACAGAGAGAGACCAGCAGACAGATAAGCTGCTTACCAAAGTTAAACACCGAGGAGGGGACTGTGGTGCCATATGTGAAATGCCACACGCAAACATAAACATCACACGGGGACACACACACACACACACTAAAACACTCATGGACTCTCATATGCATGCCTGCACAAAATATAGCCAAGGACATGACTACTCCACTTGGAAGTGCACACACCAGGAGAGCAAAAACACTCACACACACTCATAAATCTGCCTTACACACAGGAGAACTAAATAAATGGTTCCCAATTGTGAATGCAGCTCTTGTCAACTACCCTGATTATTTTATAATGAACTTTAATTTGAGCAGCACAGCAGTCTGCTTCCATCTTCACCCCCAGTCTCAATAAGGTGCCTGGTTATTTTTGGCAACACCTTAACCTGCAAAAAGAAAACATGTGGAGCTTTCACATTTGGATGGCCAGTAATAATTTAAGTCGCTTTTCAAATCATTACATGCATGACCAAAGTCTGCTGGGACACAGGAACAGACTCAGGGCTCCAGACTGACTGTTAGCACTGTCAGACACAGCAGCACTGGAATGTTCAGCCTGAACAACCACCAAATGTAAAAACACAACTCCAAAGCAAATGTACTTAGTAAATTCCTCACGAAACAAACCACGGAATTTAACGGTGCAGGGTGTTGCAAGTAATTGCAACGCTGCTGCCCTCCAGCTGTATTTTCTCTTCTGCATTTCGCAGTAGATCGCAATGGGAATGCTGGTAGATCATGAGCAATTAAAATAAAAAAATAAAAAATATATTCAGGATGACACTGGTCACTGTTTGACAGTCAGTTCCTTATAGATACCAGGCGCTCAGCACTGTAGCACAGACTAGACCAGCCTCACCTCCTCTTTCTGTCCTTGGTAAAATTAGACTTTATTTATTAGGCTCTTTCTTTCTGTCCTTGGTAAAATTAGACTTTTATCTTTGCACCTTAACATTTGCTTAAAAATGTTATTTGTCTTTTGCTGCGCTGTTTTAAAACTGTTCTTCAGGTTCCAGTCACTTGAAAAGTGTTGCCTGAATGTGACCAAATGGTGGCAGGCTGGAGCCCTGCCAGTATATCTCCACCTCTTCTCACACAGACCGAGAATATTTATTTTCGTTTGAGGTCACCCTGGTCAAAATATCCGTACAGCACAGCTTGTGCCAGGGAGACACACACATCCAGGCTTTTTATAATTTATCAGTTAAACTTGGGTGGCTTTATAGGAATTGTGCTTTTATTTGTCTTTCACTTGTTTATCTGACAGTGGCGCCTGACCAGATCAGATAAGACGAGGCTGGAGGGTACTTTCATGCTCTCCTGATGGGAAGACTCACACCCCGTCTACAGGAGCTGCACACACTCTTCAGCCCTGAAACAAGACTTGCGCTTCTTGAATATTGGTCCCAGCACCAAGTCTCCAGAGGTGCGTGTTACTTCTTCCTTTGCCATTTATCTTTCCCGAATATGAGGCTTGGGGTCACGGAGTAACTATAATGGTTGTTGACAGGAGGAGATTGGAACTGTTCAGGGGGTGAGGGGGGGCTCCTCCTGCCCGTCTGCTGGGCCTCTGAGCCCCTCGGCCCCTTCAGACACCAGGGGGCGAGAGCCTGCCAGGCCTGACAGATAAAATCTTGCCCTCGCCACCTTGTGGGTCTTTCTCCTGATCAGCCGTCACCCTGCTGGGTAACATGTCTCCATTCTCTCCTAAGCCTCCAGAGGTCAGAGCCGGGCTCATCTCCCTCTACACTTACTTCTGGAGACTTTTTGCAAAGAAGATAAAAGGATTAGGTGATTAACATTAAGATGATTCACACAAATCATAACTTCACAAGAGTCTCTATTTGGGAGGGGTTGACTTGTTCTCAAGTCAAGAAATGATTTAAGGAGGTATCACAGACATTTCTAACCCAACAGAAACTGTTTTATTTGGAATTATCTGGATTGAGGCCCTGTCTCCCCCCGCAGCACCACCATCACCTTACCACCCCTGGAGTCTGGAAATTCAAGTTAGTCATAACTTGGGCCAATGATTTTCACATGAAAATCTTACAGTGCTTCAGTCGTTTAAAAAAAAACAAAAAACATAGCAGACTGTCACCATGTACAGCAGTGGTCTTAAAGGCTGGTGGTGGCCCGCATGCATTTAAAATGATGCATGCTGCACAGTCAAAAAAACGCAGACAGGTAAGATTTTTATCAGTCGTGGAGATCAGTGAGAATACAATGGAAATAATTATCCCTAAATCAACCATGAATGCTCTTAGATTTCTGACAGACCGAGAGTTCATGCTGGCAGGTAAACATACAGTAGCTAGACAGCATCTGACTAGAGATCAGTAAAACACAAAACACACTGTTGTTTCTTTTCATCACCTACTCCTGCTGCTGTGTGTTTTTCCACTTTGTGCACACAGATCTGTCCAACAGCCGAGAAAGTGGAGCTCGATTTGAGACAAAGGACATGGCACCCATTTTACAGTTGTCTGTCTGTGTGTAAGTGTGAGTGTGTATGTGTGTGTGTGTTATATATTTTTGTGTGTAAGTGTGAGTGTGTATGTGTGTTATATATTTTGACCTCTTTGGGCCTTTTTTCAAATAAACGCTGACCTTGAATTGTTTCCTATCTGCCTACACGCAGCTCTGCACAAAACTGCTGGGGAACAACTGATTTAGGAAATATGGAATCAGATGAATGTAAATCCACAGACTCAGAGACCACTGACTAGTTCATAATTGCTTTCATCTACAGATGAGCTCATAATAGGATGCACGTTTTATATGCAATGTGTGCTTACAGTTGTGTTCAAGGAGGGACAGATTCAGCAGTGGAAAAATACCCCAGGGCCTGAGGGCAAAATGCTGATTATAATTAAAAGCATGATAATGTGATGCATTTCACTAATGCATTTCAGTTGTTCGAACTTAAGCTTTTGTTAATTGGTAATTTCGTTCAGTTCAAGTCGCCTATTTTGAACAGTCCTCTTAAAAAATCATTTGTCCTGAATAAGTCACCACTTTCTTAAGTCGGCAAAAGGTCCGATTTTAGGCGATTTTAAGCAAAAAATATTTACAAGATTTGAAAAGAAAAAACTGTTTACATTTGTATTTCAAATCTTGATGCTGCACCATAAAGGAATTTGTTAAAGAATATAGTCATGGACCATAGAAAACCAGATGAAACGCCACAACTGGTGCACGAGCCAGGCTTTGATCCCACTCAGCACCCTCTCCCCTCGCCCCCCCTGCCCTTTGTGGCTCAATTCTTATTCATTTTTGTCAAGGGTGTATGTTAAAAAAAATGAAGAAAAAAAAATTCCATCTATGAAATGGGAAGAAAAATCGTGCACAAACACTGGAGACATCTGTTTTTCTTTTGTCTCCAGCACATACATAGTCGAAACCCAAGGAGAGAAATCTATCATCAGTTAGGATAATGGAGAAAATCACAGTCCACAGCATATTTTTCACGTCGGGGAGAAAGAAATAATAAGCAAGCATTTAGAAAGAGGACGTCAGGCAATTAAAACATAATTAAAATAAATGGATAGAAGGAGACAGCCCACATGTCTTTACATTAAATACAAGGCTGAGTGCAACAGCCAGCTGAATGA